TACTGCATCCTCTACAGCATCTCCCGCTTCCGTGACAGGCGCCCACTGGTATGACCAGCACTGCCCTGGCATGGGGAGGACAGCACGTTCCCAGTGCCACCAGCTTCTCCCCATGCTGGGCAGGTTGACGGTGGTGCCCTCTCTCCGCCAGGGCCGGGAAGGGGCTCGCCGGGGCTCCCGGGGCTCAGCCTTCCCCTCTCAGGAGGAGGTGCCCAGTCCCGGGGAGAGCCGCCAGCCGCCTCGGAGCACCCCAGGATCCAGGGATGCCTCCTTGGAGCTCTCCGCCGGGGGCACAGAGACGTCGGAGCGGAGTGAGTGGGGCTGGGGCTGGGGCAGGGGGCAAGTGTGGGAGCCGTGGGCTGACTGGGTGTGCGCTTGCTCAGCAGGTGCGGATCCCATTTCTGGGGGAGACATCTGGAAGAGGATTTACCAGCCCTCCTACATCCAGGAGCAGTATGTCCTGACGCACTGCTCTGTCAGCACCGACCGCAGCCGGGGGCTGCTCTCCCACAGCTCCACCAGCAGTGAGTCCACCGGCTCCCGCGACGTAGCCCCCGAGGGTGGCTCCTCAGCCCCAGGTGCTGATGCCACCTCCCAGCAAGGCCAGAAGAGCCTGTCCCTCTGCGAGTCCTCCACCAAATCCGCCCCGCTGCCTTCTGCCCCGGCTGGCACCAAGGTAAGGTTGCCAATGGGGTGCAAGGATTCACGCATGGAGGACTTGCTCCCAGCTTAGCTGGGGTCTCGCTGCCCCATTGTCCCTGGGCATGTGGCCAGCAGGCTGGAAACTGGAGCGCTGTAGCCTGGATTTTAAGCAAGGATCAGCCATGGGTGATGCGAGGAGGATCCTAGGGTAGTTTTCCACTGCTGGAGTGGGACAGCTGCGGACCAAGCAGCTGGTCCCCCACCTTCCCTGGCCAGTAGTCAGCTGAGTGGTTAACAAACGCCCTAGCCAGCTCAATTCCTCGTTGATGCTGCAGAAATCCAATGAAAATAGCTGGGCTGACATCGTATAATGAACCTGCCAAGCTGGAGAGGAGGGGGTGGGCTGGCTGAGCTCCTGCCTGGCTCCTTCAGTGCTCAGCCAATGCCGCCTGATGCTTCATTAGCGATGGGCCACATCCCTGCTGCTTCATACCTGGGTTGAAAACCCAGCCAGGTCACTGGGATGGGGAGAGGCAGCCCCCCCATCCCATGACGATGGCCCCAAGGCCGGGTGAGGCCAGCTGTCACCCGGCTCCGGGACACGCTGCTTCCCAGTGGCATGGGTTAGGTAACGGGCTCCCGCCGCACAACAGCACAGCTGGTGCCCTTTGCTGCCGAAATGTCAAGCGTAAGTGATTTCCCCGCAGCGTAAACGATCCCCCTCGGGCTCCCTGCTGCTGGGGCGAGAAGTGGCACGGGTGCCGCTGCCCTGCCGTCGCTTTTAGGTGAAGCATGTCAGTGCAGGGACATCAGTCTGCGCTGGGGACTGCATCCCACCGTAGCATCATCCCACCTGAGCGACTGAGCTAAGCCCCCCTCCTGCACACACAAAAATTCCCGCCAACTCGGCATCAGCCTCTCAGCCCCCGGGGATGTGTTGCAACACAAACTCCTGTCTCGGTGCCTTTGGCCCTTCCCACGGGTATGAGTCGTCTGGCGAGCATCGCCCGTCGCCCCGGGAGGCTGCTGGGTGCCAGTCTGCAGACCGACGGGGCTGGGCGTCAGCCAGCGGCTCCGGCCAAC